TGTGTCCCTGTCCCCCTCCGCCTGCGTTACTGTTGCGGAAGCAGAGGCAGAAGGCGACTGTAAAGCTTCCAAATGCTACTGAATTATCCAAATATCCGTGTCAGAAAAACCTCCGCCTGTGCTGCCGATGCGTTCTGCAAGTGGGTGTGCCAACATGGGTCCTTTCCCAATTAGTGAAAGCTCATTCTGTGCTTTAGATGGGCCCATCCCCATCCCCATTCTGGCCGTAAGATGGGGCTCATCCCCTTCCAAGTGTCTGTTGGCCTGAAAGCGTTATCAGGTCTAAAAGCAAAAATTAATCCTTCTCGTTCTTGACCCGTGGCTTTTCTGGGCATGGAAAAGACACGTCCCAGACCTAAAGTAGGCTGTCTCTACCAGATGTGGGCTCATTTCGGGCCTAAAAGATGAGAGGTGCCTTTGAGACGCTTACTTATCAATCTAAAATGGATGTTCCGCTGATTAATAAGGGGCCTTTTGAGTCTACCATGGTCCTCTCCAGATCTAAGAGGGTCTTTTCTGAATCTAACATGAGCCCCTTCCTAACCGAAAGCGGGCACTTTTTTGGTCTACGAAGAGTTTTTTCTGATTTGAGATGGGTTATTTCCAGGCATAAACTTACAGTGGCCGTTTCTTATCTGTAAATGGGCTCCTTTCTACCTGGGGGAGAAGAGTCCATTTCCGCTCATTCCATGGCCTGTGGCAATGAGAACCCGCCAGTCGAACCGCGACCACGGAATTTCGAACAGTCTGCCCCACGGCAGCCTAGGACCCATTGCGAAGCTTGGACCATGCCTAGGGCCCGCGATTGCCAGTCAGAGGATCATTTGCATAAGTCGGGGTCCCTGAAGCTGTGTTGGTCAGGGGCTACAGTATGCCCAACAGGTGAACCTATGTCGGCAAGGGGCCGGGTCGGCCATGATACCGAATGTCAGGAAGCCTCTTGGGTTGACCGGGCCCACTGATAACGAAAGGAGATAGGATAGATGAAAATGAGATGATTTATTATGGGATGGTGAAAAGGCCCCGCGTGGTACACGGGCCCAAGAACAGACGTGCCTCGAACCTCCACCACATCAGGACCTGGGACCTGATAAACCGACCTGGAGTCATCTACCAATTATTGGGTCCCCTGTGTTGGTAAACAATCTTTTGGCGTCAATGGGATTCCCTGTGTCGACCCGTGATCAACTGCTCCGGTCTGAGGGCCTTCTGTATCAGGGAGACGACCCATACTTGATGCATCTCTCCGCGACGCTCCTGATCGACCAGGGGACTCCGTCCACCGTGTCTCCAGGACAGTACCTGGCAGTTACCACGGTTGGCGGGTCGAAGCGGAAATCCCTTCAACCCTTAACCGGGAAAGGCAATGGGCCCCTGGTGTTCTATTTAGGGGGCTCCTTGTCCCCGGAACGAAAGGGGCCTTCTTAGAGTTCCGCCCACTGGGCCCCTCAACGAACGTATTCGTCGGCATGATAGCGACACGTGAAGAAAGCTGGGGTCCCTCGGAATAGAATGGGTCAAATCTAATTATTTTTCGGTGTGCTTTTTCACTGGATTATCGAGCTTTATGCCGCCCTACCTCCTCTTACCAAAACTTTGGCCTCTCCACTGGCAGAAGTTTGAGCTTGTGGGATCTGCGATTGGCTCTTTTCGGACTTAAATGCTTAGATGGGCCCTTTGCGGAGCTGAGATGCCCACTTTCTCAGATTGAAACGTGCCATTTCGTGATATAAGAAAGGCCCTACTTGAGTCCACCATGGGACCATTCCAGGCCTAGGAGGGCCCTTTCTGTGCTCACGATGGCCCCATCCTGACCTGAGACGGATCCCCTCTGAGTTTGCGATGGGGCTGTCCTGATCAGAGACAGGTGCTTTTGAATCTACAGAGAACCCTTTTCAGATCGGAAAAGCGCCCTACTTGTGCCTGACAATGTTATAGAGGTATCGTGCTTTGAAATTGATCCTTTCCGGACCTGATGGGCTCACTACGCTGACTTACATAATACGCACTGAACAAATCTCTTCCACAAATCCCTTAGGCACCCAATTTGGCCACCTGGAATATGGGGAAAAGATAGTCTTGGCTATTACCTCATACGTAGGGTACGGTTTTCCCACGAATACCAAAGAATAATGCCCCCATTGGCTTTCTGAGCCTACAATAGGCCCACTCCAGGCCAGAGATAGGCCCTTCCAAGATTCAAAAAGTAAGACAGACCCTTTCTCAGCCCAAACATTTTCGTTCCTTAGCCTATACTGGGTCTCTACCTCATTTGCGACGAATCGTTTCTGAATTTATGATGAAACCTTTCCAAGTTTGAAAGGGACTTCTCTAAGTTTACCACGAGCCTTTTTTCCGACTTGCAGCCTTTTTGAGCTTGCAGCCCTTTTCAGATCAAGAGCGGGTCCACACCGTACCTGGAAGTGGCATGAATGTTTTCCGGTCTTAAAATGGGCCATTTCCAGCCTGAGATCGCCTTTCGCGGACACGAAAGATTCCTTTCTGAGCTTAAAATGGGTCTTCTCCGGACCAAACACAGCCCGCTACGCTTGCTTTTGGGGTCAGTTTGCCCCCGCTGCCCCCCCCCCCCTCCCCCCCGGCCAGGCTGCCATTGACTGGTACACCAATTTCGAACCGTGACCTGATCTGACCTTGGTTTTGTAGGGGAACAGAAATGGTCGGAATTAAATCCCACAGTCTTAACGCTTTTTTACGTATCCTCAATATCCATCTTGAAGTACTGTCACCATAAGTTTAACTTCATACATCGGAACGACCGTGTTTGACCTTTCGTAACCTCTGATAACTTACATTTGACCTAAGGTCAAAAAGTTGGTGCGTATTCTCCATGATCTGATGAGACCTTCGAAAATGTACCTTTATTTTTTTCGTACGGCGTCGGAGATCCCAGGGGGGGGGGTCAGCTGCCTCGGCCGAGCACGGTTGTCTGAGACGCCGGCTGGGCGCGGGTTGATATATCTGTAGAACCCAGAGCAAAATTCTGACAAACTTCTGAATTCTATCGGTTAAGAAAGAGGGTACTGAAACATTGTAAATTGACAGCGCCAGTGATTTATTCCATGCAGTCGTTCAGCCTCTCATTTCTGCAGTTTACTTACTTCAAAATACAAACAGAATCGATCTCGCGGTAGCCTCTAGTTTCTGCTTCTGATTTGGTTACAAGGTAAAAATCACAGTAAAACGGAGAAGATCGTGTTCCTTGCTAACAAGTAAGCAATATGCGGTAATTTTCTAGAGGGTAAAAGATCACCATCAGGGGCGCTTTTGTCAATCCTATACCCCTCCCTTGGCAGAGCTCTGGCCACGCCCCTGCCCACATACAAAAGCGGATCAGGTCGACTATGTTGAATGAGGGGCAACTGAATGTCCGTTGGACCAATTCATGCTTTAAGGCAAGCAGCTGCCAGGAAGTTTTCTGCGGTAGTGTAGTGTAAGGGAAGATAGTTCAGAAAAGGTTCTATTACAGGTGTGTAATATATGTTTTACACACGAATGGGTAGTAATGCTGAACCATAAATATGCAGCAAAGCAGCCATATGATGAATTCGCAGTCGGTCATGCGGGGTTCAGACGGGCCAGCGCAGTGGCAGCCGACGGCGGACGAAAGCAGGGTTCAGGTAGGGAATATATCACATAAGGACCCTTATTCTGTGACTTGGGTTTGTACGGGAGAGAACTCCGCTTTATGTTTTTTCACATTGTTTTAAGCAGTTAGTATTACAAGCTTCCGAATTCGTTTCCACCTCAAATGCTGCGACAAATCTCATCTTTTGAAAAGCAGCGAGCGAAATCTAGGCGCATGAAAACTCTGACGCATCATGAGCCATCGATTCGCATTTGAAATTCTGACCAGCTTATGTCCAGGTCATATTTTGACATCTACTCTATTGAGGCAGATGTCTCCTCAATGACTCAAAGTGCCTAACCACACGAATAATCCTGGGAAGATAAATACCCATATTTTCCGAATGGCATAGATGAGTCGAAAAGGCAAGATTGTGCACCAGTGATAAACAGCTGTAGGTGTATATCTAGGATGGGTGCCATGACATTTAGCACATACCCCTTGACATCTCAGAGGACTGAGAGAGCTAGACACCAAATTCACAGGGTGTGCTGGCCTGTACGTGAACTCATTTAAGCCAAAGTTTGAGGTCTCTAGATAATCTCTAGGTCAGACTCTAGGTTGGTGTCAAAGTGCCCACGAACCTAGATACCTGTTCTAAGCAAAAGGTCACGCGCTCAACCAAGGCCATTGACCTTGTTTGGGCTTTTGAAGGTCATGTTGACCAAAATCATACAAGACTGCTTTGAGTTTTGCATGCAAATGAGCGACAAAGATTTCGTTAGGCAGTATTGTTCGTAAAGCAAAATATTGACCTGGGTCATTTTAGGTCAGTGGCCTATCTGACCTTTAAGTGACCTATTCTGACAGATCAAATTCCCGCTTCTTTGTCAAAGGGATCTTCCAATCTGGTAGTGCTTCCTCTCCATGCTGACGGACTGACAAAAAATACTGGCATCATGGTCTGCCGGCGCGTGACGGCACAGGTCATGTAACTTCGTGGTCACGTGACGTGACATAGGCGAATACTGGACCGTGATTGGTGTTGACAAACGTGCAGATGACAGGTCGAACGCTGCCTGGGAAACAAATATAAGCTAACCGCATCCTTCCAAGGTTATGTGGACGTCCTCGAATAGGTTCCTTCTTGGGTCCTATGTTACTGCCTCTGTTCTTAAATTATCTTAAAATTTAAAACTTGTTGCCACGTTTACTTATTTGCTCGTTTTAACTTGGTTTAACCCTTCATTCCACGCACTGAACATGTTGTAATACGTTTGATCACTCATGTCCGCTATCACGCGTGCGGTCTTCCCAGCGTTCAAGGTGTGCCCCCGTGACGTCACATATGAATCTTCGCCGAGTAGTGAATAGCCTGGACAGCACCACCCGGCACGTTTCGCCTTGCCAAGAGCCTGCTGATACAGCGGGTGTGGTCTGTGTCGCTGGCGATTGTGGTGCCGTGAGTCAGACTGGCATGCAGCAATTGAAAATCGGGACTAGTGCGTAAAATTACCCTAAAACGGTTTTCCACAATGTCGTGGTACAGAAACTCGATCTTTGTACTGAAAGGTCTGAAGGAGTACACGAAAGGTGGCTATGTCAGTGCTAGTAAGTGCTTTGCTGCGAAGGACCTGGATGTTGACTGTAATGGCAAGTCGTTCATGATAACTGGTGCCAACAGTGGAATAGGTAAGGCACTTGCGGTTGCCATTGCCAAGCTTGGGGGAACCATACACATGGTCTGCAGAAACCCCACATATGCTGAAGAGGCCATGAAGGAAATCAGAGATGAGACTGGAAATCCAAATATTCATGTCCACATTCTGGACATGTCCCAACCAAAGAACATTGCAAAATTTGCAGAGAAGTTCATGGATGAGCATGAATCCTTGAATGTTTTGGTCAACAATGCAGGGTGCATGGTCAATGAGAGGCGCACAACAGATGATGGGTTGGAGATGAATTTTGCAACAAACACCTTGGGAGTGCACATGCTGACAAAGAGCTTGCTGCCACTTCTGAAGAGATCTGATCAGCCACGTGTCATCATGGTGGCTTCTGCTGGAATGCTTACCCAGAAGCTGAACCTGGCAGACCTTCAGTCAGAGAAGATGAAGACTTATGATGGAACCATGGTGTACGCTCAAAACAAGCGACAGCAGGTCATCATGACTGAGCAGTATGCTGCAGAGCATCCTGAGGTCAAGTTCTTTTCAATGCACCCTGGATGGGCAGACACTCCAGCAGTGAAGACATCAATGCCAGATTTTTATAACCGGATGCAGGGCAAGTTCCGCACCCCGGAAGAGGGAGCCGACACAGCGCTATGGCTTGCTGTTTCAGATGCTGCCAAAAGCCAGCCAAGTGGGGAGTTCTATCAGGACAGGAGGGTGGTGCCCAAGCATCTTCCTCTTGCATGGACCCACAGCTCAACTGAAGAGCATGACAAGCTGATGGCAGTGCTAGATGATTATTTTGCTCAGTTCAGTCAGTGAGGATTGGTGCTAGAGGTGGGTGGGGTAGCTATCAAAATCAAGACTGCTGATGCATACCTTTTCCCAAGTACAATTGCAATGTTCAAAACCATGAACGATTCTAAGCATTTAATAACAGAAGAAGCAATGGACTTGCAGTGACAGGCTTCCATCAGGATATTCCAATGCTCTTGTCTAACAACGTAACATACAATGTGCTTGTTGTAAGGTCTTGGATTGCGGATGGGTTTCACCACAAGATTGTGGTTGTAATATTCATGGGAAAAATAATTGGGTTTTCATTTAGGCATTGTAAGCATTCATGCAGTTTTCTTGTAGGTCCTTTCAAGCATAATTTTAGGTGTACCCTTTGTGCTGAACTTTGAAATTGAACAGCACATGCCTATCTATTCATGCTAGCTCAGTTTTGTCATACATGTATATATATATATATATATATATATATATATATATATATATATATATATATATATATAATGGAGTTATCCATAAATTTTGCCATCCATGAGAGCAAACATAAGTTTAGAAAAGGGGAGAGCTCTGGACTTGAATGACATTGACAATGAGATTGGTTGAAATATGTAATATATGCTATGGGCATTCTATTATCCACCAATTTGATTGCAAGAAGATACATATGATAGGTGCCATGGTTTTGCTAGCAGGTTATCTAAACATGTGCTTGGTGTGAACAACTGGAATGTGCACAGATTTTAGGTGCCTAAGATGGCACCAACTCAGTACTCCATGGTTTTGGAACACTCAGTTAATGCTTACCTGTAATTTTGCATGTCAGTGGGATAATTATATGTGGGATGATGCAAGCCAAGCACAATGTAGGAGTCTGTGTAGATGTTCCAGATACTGATGACATTTTTAACTTGATGTACACAATTTTGGGGTCTTGTCCTGCATAGTATTATGATGTGTTCATGTCTGTGTATAGACTTATGGTATTCCTGATTTATGTTGTTTCTTTACAAGTGTACAGTGGGTCCCTGGTAGTAGAAATGTGTGATTATGATTGAAGTTTGTTATGTGTAGGGGGCTCATCACTGTATGCACCAATAACAAATTGTTGTCAGTTTCAGTTGTTCCTCCTTTCATCTGGCTTTGATGTTTTGCAGTGGTGACCCATTTAAGGTATGATTGCTTTAGGTTGTGATGAGGTCTTGTCATACACTGCTAAAAAACAGCCTGTTTTGTGAAAGTGTCAGATAGAGGTGTTGAGCTATATTCAGTCTCCAGGTGTGCAATGCCACCAGGTTTTGTAACATTTACATGTACACAGTGGTTACATGTCAACATGCCTGTTACTGCTTTACATGTGTATCTGCTGATTGGCCTCTCCATGAATAAATCATGTGGCTTTGAATGTTGCAAACTTGCTGTAATCTTGTGGTCTCTTACCACGATTTCAACGGATTAATCTTGGGCGTCATAGACAGCTTTCAGGTTTGCCTTTGTGCAACGCTTCTCCGGTATTGCAGGCATAGAAGGTAGCTGATCTTTGAACGGTCAATCCATCCAGCGTAGTATTGCTGTCCACAGAATGGGAATGATGCGCTGGTATCGCCGCAGGCTGATGGAGCTCCCGCCGGCGTACTTAGATTCTTTGAAAAGCGCCTTCCACGTATTCGGTGGATCCGTGAGATGCGATGTGCATATTAGCTCCTCTCCTTGTACCGCGGCAAGAATTATCCAGCATAACAATATCGACAGTGATGATGTCATGGTTACGTTATTTGTTCATCATACGTGGCGTGAGGTCTTTGGGACTTACTGCTAAGAACGCCCGAACAAGATTTTTCAACCGCTTATGTCGATCATTGTGGAAACGCGTGCGCACCCGCCTACAGTCGCGTCAGCAAACTAGAATTTGTCAATTGTCGGGCCATGGCAAGCCCGTTCCAATTTGGTTGGCAGTTGCAAGTAATGAAAGCTTAAACCAGCCCATCGCATAACCCTACAATACCATATTCGGTTTAAGCAAGTTACCATGCGCACGTGGATTTAGCATCCAGCCACCTCGGGGTGGGGAGCCACGCATAAAACCGTCATCTGGCACTGGACGGCGTAAAAGTTCAGCTTTGGAGAGAAGTAAAGTTGAGTAACCTCAGGACACGTGCTCGCAGGCACCAAGACCCTATATCGACAGGCTGGGCGGCAGGATTATACCAAAACACACTGTATCTTAAATTTGTACCGGCACAACGGGCTTATATGCTAACTTCAGTCAAGGATTGTAGCAAATAACAAACAAAACAAATTGAATAACGTTTTGTAAACAATCACTGGCTAAGTGTCATCATCTAAAATGAGAAATTTGCAGCTTGGCATCCTCGGCAGTCTAGAAATATGACAACGGGTGTTTTTGCAGCACGCAAAGAATAGCCTATTCTATGTGGCGCCACGTAGAGTTTTTGCCCGGCATGTTGGCAGCGCGTCACGGCCCGGCCCCGCCGACGGGTCGCCAAGTCCGCATTTACCCAGGCAACGCACATAACCCGAACGAGGTTTATATTTAACCGCCCGCCACACACACATGCCCCACCGGCATCGGTGGCCCCAAACGCCTCAGGTCATTCCTCCGTCACGCTAGACAGAGGCGGGTCCAGAACGACGCTGGGCGCGACATTTCCCCCTGTTACGAAAGTCAAATTCAGTCTTGGTAACAAAGCGAATGAAATTTAAATTTACCACTCATTGTCTACCACCACTGTACACTGCCCGTTCAACAGCGCGAGTAAGGCGTATGGGCGAAGTGCAGACATTACACGCAGCGGTCAACAAGTTTTACATTCTTCGCATGTGTACGACGAGCAGCACCCTTCCTATGCAGAAAATCGGAATAGCGGCAGCCCGCGCGACGCCCAACAAATGGCCCAACTCGCGGGTCATCCGTCTTTGCTCTTCTATCAAAGTTACGAGATCGGACTCGATCACTTGAACCTAGCTTCCGTTCTCTAGCCCTTTGTCCTTATCGTACTGGGTCTTGCATTTGCTCAGCCCTCTGTAAAGTCGCCAGGAGAATTCAAAGCTTCTCGTAGACGAAGTCCTTTTTGTACAAACTCACTCGGCCCTCAACTAGCCGAGAAATGGGGCTGCTTGCGTGGCGAAGGAAACAAATGAAGCATGGGGTGTGGCCCATGCGTACTGCTCATCTCATTAGTCAAGGAAAAGGTAGCAACCGGAGGACGCTGTTCCCAGTCAGACCCATAGGACTCGGACACTGCACGTGACCGTCGCTTAGTACCCAGGTGTTTTCTTTCAACTTTACCCACGGCCTTGTGATGATAGCCAACACAGAACCGTGCTGCAACACCAAAATTCTCGCACAGCACCCGAGCGCCCGAATTTTCGAGCAGGTTTGACCCCGCGTCACTCTCCATCAATGCGGGCGGCCCAAACTTTAAAAGAAATGCTCTACCTTTTCCATGATCCCGTCAGACGACCCAGAATCAAGCGGGTAGCGCGCCAAGAAACCAGACAGATCAGCAGGCAACATCGCTGTGCCACCGAACTCCGAAGCATGCCGAGAATGTCTACGACGAGGGTCTCGTTCTGATGGCTGGCCTTTTGGGAAAGAAGTGGTGAATGCTGCAGCGAGGTACTCTTTCTTTACTGCACCGTTTGCAGCTCCGAAGATAGTCCTCACAGTCTCTTCAGCCCTGGATACCAAACATATCTGCTCAACTACTCATGCAGTTTAACCGTGCCCCCGTGGGCGGCATGAGGTGCATCATGGTGGTTGAAAAGGAGCCCAGAACGCTGGCAAGGGGCCACACAATCAAATCAGCACCTGTTGGTTGAGCCCTTCGGAGTATAATCCCGTCCCTCAGGCAAAACCGATTGGGTCGCTCTCGTTCCAGATGTGGAGGAGCGAAGCGCAGCCATAGCCCATGGCTAATATAATGGGCATTCGATCTACAATTCCTGTGAGATTTCGGGCACCAGGCAAGGGAATCCAGCTTGAGAGAAACCTGCACGAGAAGATTTGCAACTGTCAAATTGACCTCTCGAGCCCCCTCTAAATTTGTGCCACGTGCACTAGCCTTTGGCTGTGCGAGTGGAACGTCTGTCCAATCACTTGTGCCAGTCAACACAGACCGTTGTTGCTTTTGGTACTTACAACCGCCGTGGCTTGCTGGCTGAGCATTACGAGCGCCGGTATCTGCACCGTAGCCGCCTCCACCGGCGCGGCGAGCCGCCGACCTCGCCACCCGGGGACTCTGCCGTCTCCACACATTTCCCGAATGCCCCGCCAGGGGCGCCAGCATCGCCCTGGGTGCCCGGCACCTCCCGGTCCGGCAGCGGTGTATGTTGCGCCAGGCCACCGACGTCGTGCAAGCAGGACAGCATACCTACATGCTGCGCCTGTGCGGCTGGCCTATGCGTAAAGGAGTAAGGGCGTTAACTGACGAATGCCTTCCAGCGCGCCAGCCTCGGGTTGATGTGATAGCGATTGTGCAAAATTTTGAGAGCGCCCTTGCAGTCGCAAAACCGTGCAAACGTGGCATCCGCTAAATACATGTAACACTTCTTCAAGCCCGGAATGAAACTGTGCACTTCTAGCTCCAAAATCGTCCACTTACTGTGAGCCAAGCTAAATCTACTACCGTTTTAAGCAACTTTGCGCTCCTCACCGTCCTACATTTGAGACCAAATTTGGCCCCAGCCCGCGGAACTACTATCTGTATGTAAAATGAATGGACAATCATTGCGCGGATAGCTAAGCATTTTGGCCCCCATAATCTCCGCACGGAGGTGGGAAATATACTGGTCCAGTTCCTCGTTCTAAAAAGAATTCCCGGAGTTGCACAAAGTGACTAAGGCATTTGAAACAATGCTAAAAGACGGGATAACTTAACGCATGACATGAAGCCAAACGCCTTAGCTTCTTACAGAGACGTAGGCGGCTTCAGGTCAGCCATTATCCGAATACGATCTGGATCAATGGAAATCCTACGAGGAGTGATGTGATGACCAATGTATTCCAAAGTTGTTTGAAAATGAAACAGACGACAATTCTCAGGAGCGAGCTTGAGCTCTGCACCCCGAGTGTCTCTAGAACCGTGTGCAAAAGCTGACAATGTTCAACACTCGGACCCGTGAGCAGGATGTCATCTGCGTACACGTGTACATCTTCAAACTCCCCTTAGACCTATCGCATGACTGGGTGCAACAAGCACGATGACTGAATGCATCCCAATGGCATTCGTCGAGGGTAAAGCGTCTTTCCTAGGGCGTAAAACGCACACATTTTGCTCGACTTTTCCGAAAGCTGTAGATTCTAAAACGCATGCTTATTTTCAAGTGTTGAAGCAACCTTCCACCCGTGCAGAGAAAAGAAAAACTCATCACTTGTAGGCAGGACAAACTGCTTCGAAATGAGAAGCTTGTCCAACGATCGCATGTCCTGCACAACCCGGTACTCATAAGACCTCTTTGGAATCAAAATTATGGGAGAGTCCCAATCAGAGGGTTCCCGTTTTTCGAAGACACCATACGCCTGCAGATCATCAAGCTGCGACTTCAGTTGGTCTTCACGGGCCCATGGAATTGGGTATGGCCGTATGAACCGAGGCTGTGCTCCCTCCCGCAGCCCCAAGCTAACATCATCAGTTATTCTGGCCTAGATCTGCATAGCGGCGTGAAAACACATCGGAAATAAACGGATTAACCTTGCTTATCTATCTCGCCGAGAGCCAGTGAGAGGGGAGCCAACCACAAACTCTGATAACACCTTATCAGTGGTTTTTCCAATATACCGGCTGTCGTCAGTAGACACCGTGTTCACCTCTGCCGTGACGTCATCGGCGATTCCCCCAGCAGGCCCGGGCTGGCGCGTCTCAGCATGGACAATCTGCTCTGCATAGTCAATGACACTCCGCCTATGCATGGTGATCAGACGATACGATCGGCTGCGAATGTAAATTGGATATGTGTTGACGTAAACGGTGTCACCAGTGGATCGCACATTTCAACGTTACTCGAGCGCTGTTCCACGAATAAATCCTCGCTTTCACAGGACAAAGGCTGGTCAACCTTCACCGCCAAACACACAGCTGACTGCGGAGGGACAGGTACAGCCTGTCTTGAGTCGCAGCTTTAACTTAGCACTAGTATTCACAGAAACTAGCAGTTTGGTAAACTATTACTGGTATCACTAGTATTTGGGGACCCTTTGTGGTGCTCCCTAGCAGTGGATGTCTCCTGAAAATGAAAGGGTTTACGCCCACAATAATAGCTTTGGTGCTCCTATTCCGCATGGGTCAAACCAGAACTTCGTCAAATGGACACGACACGGACATTTTGATAAGCCTGGAATTTGGTGCCTCTCGAAAATGAAGGTGTTGGGACACTGCAGAGGCCCTCATACTTGGTGCTGTGCCACCAAAACTTTATGAGTGGCCAAAAGGAATAAGTGGCATGGCCCCATGTCTGCCCCGCTGAATCCAGCCCTGTCTGCGAGAACAAGCAGCGGAAGAAGGCGATCAAATTACGCAGTCCTGGAGCATTGCCATTACGCCATTCAATGACGTATTTTTTAGCCTCAGTCGCTGGTACCTTCGGGAAGAACTCAACACCTGCTTAAAATTGCTATCTTCCTGCAGCCTCCTAAAACGGCCCCGAAACGTTACCATCCGTGGGCACATGCGTTGCCCACTGCGACAGTGGGACGCTATGGCCATAAAGTGACTTTTTTCTCTCCAGCAAATCACTCGTCTTTGGACCCAAAACAATATGAAAATCGTAATATCACACTTTTGGAAGCTATCAGACGTCTAAAGAGAGACGCAACTAAGATGTTTACGCCAATCGGCTGTCCGGTGCTCATCGTCAATATGTGAAACCTTGAGGATGAACACAGTTTGAAATATTAAGTATCATCAAAAATTTGTTAGCACTAGAATGTCGTTTAAGTGCCTCCTAGCATATTAAAGGTCGTTAATTTGCCACAAAAGCTTAGACTCAAAATGCACAAAAAGAACAGAATCCGAACATCAGACTTGTGTTCGCCTTAAATTTTTTGAGTCGGCTCAAGGCTACCTAACAAACTTTAAGATCCGATTTAGCTCGTGACTCTTAGCCGTTTCATTTTTTTATGCGGCTCTGTCTGAATTGATTATGACATACACACACACACACACACACACACACACACACACACACACACACACACATATATATATATATATATATATATATATATATATATATATATATATATATATATATATATATCTAGCATTGCGCGTTTGATAAAAAAGGTTTTGCATGCTTGATAAAAAACGACCGCTGATTCCACATTGGCAAGCTCTTTATATGCATCTTTCGAAGTTTCGGGCTTTCGACTTAGCAGCATCGTGAAGATAAAAGGTTATTCGTGCAAAATCACATATATTCGATATCACCACATTCTTACGTTTCGAGTCTTTGTCACTTCGTCGGAGAAATATACATGACACAAGTGTTTTGGGTTTTTAAGGATGAAAGTTGTGCAGTATTATTCTAAAAACATCTTTTAGTATGGGGAAAAAATTCCTATCGTTTCCTGGACATGTGTAAAAAGTACCCACGAAGAAGAACAATAAAGACACATCACCACAATAATTTCTTTGGTACCTACCGCCCATCGACTAAGACCCCCAGAGGTGCCCCGTCGCTTAAGTGCACTGCCAGGCGTCGTGAGTGTCGTAGTCACGTTCATGTAGTGTGCGGAACGAAGTTCTCAGCTTCCGTGATTACTTCTGAATTGGTACACTACCTGAGTGCTTTCAAGCCTCTTGTTTTTTCAGGGCTGTTTCTCATGTGAAAGTTAGAGATTTTTGATGTCACGATTAAAGCTGACAAGGTCTATTCCGCGGTCCCTCTTGCTTTTTATCTGTCGAAATATTATTTCCCGTAGAGCTCTTTCGTCTTGTTTGTAGGCAGATGCCAACTGACCTTGATAATGCAGTAGGACGATTAGTCGTTTGTCTTGTCTTGGTCTGTTCTCAAAGTGTCTTGTCAAATGTCGTATTTCGTTCCTGACGTCCTGATTTAAAAAAAAGTTATCCACATGAAGCTCATGTACGGCGAAGGTGTACCGATCGCTGAGCCCGTCGTGCTGCGTTAGCTGGGGTTCTAGCTTTACTTTTCCGCCACTGATTTTTGATATGAGAGAAGAGGTCGCCAAGCCATCACTTAACTGGAAATTGAGTGCTAGTTTACTCGTTTAATGACTGGCATCCTCGGAAATGATAATTGCTATAAAAACTCCACATATACCTGGCGCTGCACCACCGTTAAACATGGGGGAGCGGGACCCGAGGATGGGGGCAGGGCTGCGACCCAAAAAATTCTGAGTCTTTCACAGGCCCTGTGGACGTTGAATGGAAGGAAATTATCCGCACGGCTATCATCTCCTATCCCTCCCGTCGCGGACGGACGTCCGTTGCACCATACTGGCAGGAAAAATTATCACATGCCCGTAGCTTCTTGTCAGAACAATACGTGTTTTCGTCTAGCCCCACTAGTCACATAATATATCAGTGTATATGTAGACCTAACCCCTTGCTGTGTGAGTGCGATTCATCTGTGTTTCGTCCATATTTGGGTCCTTGTTGACTGCACACAAGTAGGGAGTCGCATGTATATACCGGGGATACCTCCTGGCATGCGGAAGGTCGACAACTGCTGGTATAGGAACTATGACCTCGCCATGCCGGAGACCCCGGAGCTCGAGGTATTCTTCTTTTATGCAGTGCAAACGCAAATACTTTGATCACAAAACATGTATTTGCCACGTCAGGGAACATACATCGTTTCATCAGAGCCTGGCTGGAAGTTTCGCCAAACGGGAAGTCCTGAAGTTGCTTGCTGTTGGCAGACTGTGTGCGTGTAGTTACGCCGGATAAGTCCTATAAAATATGCTACATAGCCAGCAGGCCGCCGTCACTTTCTAGCGGCACCATCGCCGCGCTATCCCACCGACCCGCGATCAGATCGGATGGCATGTTCAACACAATATGCGGCGCGCTGGCGCAAAAGGAGCGCTCGGGGTACGACACACCAAACATAAAGCTCGACACCAAGCGGCCGCCACTAGCGCCGCCGTTCGGCCAACACTGAAAGCTCCACATCGACGATCGAGTCGGAATGCTCGGCGGCTGACCGCTGGCAGGATCGGGACTGGTGGTGACAGAACGCGCGCGCACGCCCCCGGCCCTCCCTCCGCGGCCACCGTGCACGGCGCGACAGCTAACAAAGGGGCACGAACGAGGACGCGACCTAGGGGTCATGCGGACCGCCCACGCACCGACTAGAGATGCAAGATTTGGGTATCACCACCACCGCGGTACCGGCGGGCGCATCCCCAGCGTGGTGGTACCGGGGCCGTCAAGGTCTGCCGGTGCCAGGAAACGTGGCCTACGTTGGATGCATGGAGAGCTGGCACCAGGACAATACCGGTACCGCCCACCCCATACCTGCTCCACAGGTGGTACGGATGCATGTACTAGTACCAGTGCGTGCTGGCAGCAAGCGTAAAAATGAAAATCTTGCATCTCTAATCTAAGCCCCATGACGGTGTAACCGTTTTCAACCTCCCTCATGACCTCTGAAAACCCATGCAAAAATAGCCAAAAACATCTAATTCGAGATCCATTTAACAAACCAGGGACACGAAAAGTGTACAATTCTTGAGCCCCTCGAGGAAATTTGAGCATCGTTAGTAATCATGAATTGTGTCATGCAAGTAATACAAACAAGTGGTACAGCAATGCGAATAGCACATCAAGCACCAGCACAGACAACCCTGTATGTTAGCTTCATTAGCGGTTTAGACGTGCTAGACTAGGTGCATTTGCAATCATAACAGAGCCTAAAATAGGGAGTGGTGCAGGGCTATCCACAGAGCGAATGAACTCATGGACAAGTCCGAAACCAAACACCCTTCTACCAGCACCCACAACGACCAACGCACCACAAACCCCCCACAAAACATTAAACGACTATCCAAGCCTCCAGGAGAGGGTGCCCCCAAGCATGCCCGTAGGAAAATGCCTCCTTCGGAGTCCAGTGCCAAGCAGCCATTACCCCGCGCTCTAAGCTCTTGCGCAGCACGTCCCAGCCGCTGGCAAGAAGACCGTGCGCCTCTGTCGGCGGCGGAAGCTGCGCAGCTCCGCCTGCGCGGGCAACTCGCGGCCAATCAGAGCCGGGCGCCGCTGAGGTGCAAGCGTCATCAGCCAATCAGGCAGCGGGGTGGCCGCGAGGGCACGCCAGCAGCACACACACGCACACGCACACACACACACACACACGCACACGCACACTACTGCATCCTAACGGCGCGACACCGACCTGGGTGTAAAACAGCCTCTATGTCGTAATACTTGGGGCCTCGCGTGGGAACAGCTAGCGCGGTTAAAGCGACTTGACCAGACATCCCGAGGAACACCTACCGGCGCGGCAGCCGCCTCGTACAAACATCAAGAGTATAAAACGGCGGCGAGGCGGCGCGACGCGCTCCGACCGGCGCGCGGCCGGCTGGTCCAATAAGGGACCTACGGCACGTCCGACCCGTGGGCCAAACAGTGGGTGGGAGAGGCAGGCGCGGCAGTTACATGAGCGCGCACTGACGGCCGCGGCGGCGGCGGCGCCGCTTGCGGTCCTGCTCGGTCGGCGGCGACGTGCGGATGATGCGCACCACCTGCCGGCGAAAACAGGCGGTCAGAGCGCCGCGCGGTCGGCACACGCCGCTGGGGCGGACGGCCAGGGGATCCGAGCACGCGCGCGCTCCTCGGTGGTGCGTGCCGTGACAGAGTACTCAACGACAGCGGCGCGGCAGGTGTGGTAACTGCGCGACACATAGGGCGTCGAACTATACAGCAAAAATATATCCAAGTTGGTTAAAGTAGTTATTTTACCCAGCGCCGCGGGGCGTCGAGACGAACGCACACACAAATACCAGGTCCATACACCGTCAGACGATGCACCGGAGGGGAAACATAGATCAATCCACGCTAGGGCACACGATGAATAACAAAGCATAGTTGGGCAATGTCCGAAAACCAAAGCACCCGTGTGTTCGGAAAGATTGACCACCCAGTCGCAGCATGCACGAGTGCGAAAATGGCGACAGAAAAGCCTGAATTACCAAGGGAATCAAATATGAACAACCAGACGCCACATGGGCAGAAAATCTTTGGATAAGTAGACATAAACATGAGAATCCCAGTCCTGAGGGATAGACAGTATTGCATGACCAGAATGTCTTCGGGCCGATCAGATTTTGAAGGCATCCACAACAACAGATGACGAGTCACGGCCATGCACGCGTGGAATTCGAAAGCAAAGTAAATCAGAAACAATATCTCGACCTATTCATATTGCGCTTCCCACAATGCTAAGGGGCCCAAGCCCGCCAACTCCCCAACTAATCAAAAAGCACACTCCCCGGCTCTAGAGATCCGCGATGGCAACACTATACCGACCCCGAGTCAGCGCCGCGGACCACGGGCGCCGCACCACCCGACAGCGGAAGCACCCCACACCCAGACCAGTACCCCCTCCAGCGGCAGCAGGCCGACAACCGGCGCGCCCGCCGCAGCCTGCCGAGCCCCACGCCGCCAGCACCGACCTCGTGGAACGCCGAGTCTACGTTGAGCGGCGGGTCCTTGGCACTGGTTTCAATGTAGGGTATGTTGAGCTTGGCGGCCAGCTCGCGGCCCTGCTCCTCGGTGACCTTGCGCAGGTGCACCAGGTCCACCTTGTTGGCCACCAGCAGCATCGGATACGCGTCCCTGCGGAGGCGCGACACGGCGTCACCGCCGCCGGGCTCTCGCGTGCTACCCTGTCGTGCGTCGCTGACGGCCGCAGCGGGAGGGCCTCACAGCTGTCACAAACTATATGCAGTATGCAGCGAAAAGGCAGCTATGAAAAGCTCAGTCGGTCGACACCGACACGCTCCCCGGTCAGAAGGCGGTGTCGGTCGGTAACAGCGTGGGCGCTTGGCTGCAGGTACGGGCTCAAAATGCACGCATGACTTCAGTGCAAAGCGTACATGACGGACCAGAACAGAGATTTCGAATTGGGGATGAATATACGCTGGTTCTCCATCCAACTGAATTACAGATACTTTGCTTTATTGGTAATCAATGTTATAGACTGAAATGCAACAGTTTGATTCAGTCAAATCTATTCAACAATTACTGCCTTTGAGTCCAAATCCCGACCAAAATTCCCATATGCTAGGATTGGACTATAAAAACACTGTGAATACTCAGCTCCAACATCTCTCCTAGCCCATCGTCATACAAATCCATTTGAACACGATGCGTAACACCTCTGGATTTCAAAATCCTGCGGTATATCTTCACGAAACTTCTTCAGTAACCCATTTCTCAACAACACAAACCATTTTTTCCTTAGAGGAACAACATTTGAACTCTCAAATTTAGACAGACTTCTGTCCCATTCCGTCGACTTCCCATCGAAACGTTGGGGTCTATACAACACCAACTGCAACGTGCCTGCAGTGACCTTAATGCGCCCTCCCGTCCAATATGTCGAGGTTTTTAAAGGGTATTGTGTGGTATTGTGCAGTGAAAACTGAAGGTACGACTGGCAAGTCTTGCGATTGGAGTTTGGGTGAGGGCGTTTGGGGCATCGTGGTTGGACGGTGATAAAAATATTTTAAAGTGGTTTGTTGAAGGATAGAAATGTGACGCCTCGTTTCTCACGACCAACAGACTGATGCCATTTTATCAAACACCACTTGGTCTTGCTAAGTCCGTGGGTGCAAAGAACAATTCAAAATGTAGGCAGAATGCCAACACTCCTTAAACTCTCAACACTGGCAGCGACCCCACACAGCGCAATTCCTACTCCCCCCCCCCCCGCAAAAAACAACTGTGATCTAGATACGTTTCCCGTGAGCCAACCCCATCTATACCCAGCGCATACATAATACGGCTGCAGCCCGACACGGGGACCCCCCACCGTCAGCGGCGCTTGGAGGCGGGCAGCCGCGACCACCGAACAGACCCCGACCGGCCGCACCTGTCCTTGACGCGGAGGATCTGCGTGTGGAAGTGCTGGATGTTGGCGTAGCTCTGTTTGTCGGTGACGGAGTAGACCAGCAGGAAGCCGTCGCCGGTGCGCATGTACTGCTCCCGCATGGCGCTGAACTCCTCCTGGCCGGCCGTGTCGAGCACTGCGGACGGGCCGGCCGGCGTCACGCGCCGATCCGCCACCAGCTGCGGCCATCTCACGGCCTGCCCTCAGCCAACACTCCACTCGAACGCGTGGTTTCAGATAGCGTGAATGTGAACTGCTTGCAGGGTGGCATTATAGCATCACTTGTAAGTGACCACAGGTGCTCATTTGGCCCGGTTCGACGTTGCACAGTTTGAATGACGGAAGGGATTTGAGTGAACCCTGTCGTATTTATTTTTCTTGTCTCCTGAAATTGTCCCTTTTCTGGTGATAATTAAGAAAAAGGCAAACACCACCTGTATTCTGACCTTGCTGTGAAATGCGCAAGCTCCAAAACAATCAGAAGGCACGGCCAGTCAAAGACGCTCAATAAATGGCTCCTAAAGCCAAGTCATGCCCCGTAAGAGTAAGCTTGTGTGACCACGCTGTCCCGACCACCAGCAGCCAGCCCCGCAGTCACTCCCATGTCCTGAACCGGAGCCGTACGCCACCTCGGCTTATCCCAGCCCGCGGGCCGCGCCACCGAGCGCGAGCGTGCGCGGGGGGGGGGGGGGGGCTCATGGCACCCACCGTCCATGATACACCACTGGGCGTCCACCTCGCAGTGCTGAATGTACGAATCCTCAATGGTCGGGTCGTAGTCGGTGACGAACAGCTTCTGGAAGAACTGGATGGTGAGCGCCGACTTGCCGACGCCGCCGTCGCCTACCACCACCAGCTTATAGGTGGTCAGGTTGCCGCTGGCCGCCGGCGGCTTGGACATGGTGCCGGCGCGCTGACCTCCGGCCACTGGCGGCGGGGCGGGGCACCGTCAGAGCGGACAGGGAGCGGGGCGCGGCGTGACCTGTGCTCGTGACGGGGTGGGGCACCGACAGAGCGGACAGGGAGAGGGGCGCGGTGTGACCTGTGCTCGTGACAGGGCGGGGCACCGTCCGAGCGGACAGGGAGCGGGGCGCGGTGTGACCTGTGATCGTGACGGGACGGGACACCGTCAGAGTGGACAAGGAGCGGGGCGCGGTGTGACTTGTGCTCGTGACAGGGCGGGGCACCGTCCGAGCGGACAGGGAGCGGGGCGCGGTGTGACCTGTGCTCGTGACGGGGCGGGGCACCGTCCGAGCGGACAGGGAGCGGGGCGCGGTGTGACCTGTGCTCGTGACGGGGCGGGGGACCGTCAGAACGGACAGGGAGTGGGGCGCGGTGTGACCTGTGCTCGTGACGGGGCGGGGCACCGTCAGGGCGGACAGGGAGCTGGGCGCGGTGTGACCTGTGCTCGTGACAGCGCGGGGCACCGTCAGAGCGGACAGGGAGCGGGGCGCGGTGTGACCTGTGCTCGTGACGGGATGGGGCACCGTCAGGGCGGACAGGTAGCGGGACGCGGTGTGACCTGTGCTCGTGGCGGGGCGGGGCACCATCAGGGCGGACAGGGAACGGGGAGTGGTGTGACCTGTGCTCGTGACGGGGTGGAGCACCGTCAGGGCGGACAGGTAGCGGGACGCGGCGTGACCTGTGCTCCTGACGGGGCGCGGCACCGTCAGGGCGGACAGGGAGCGAGGCGGCGTAACCCACAACAAGGCCGCGGCCACTATGGTAATGACCATACTGGGCAGTGCACTAGACATTCTGGCCGCGCATACTGACCAGCGTCATACATACATACTGGCCAGTGTAGTACTGACCATATTGGCCAGTACACTGCACATACTGGCCACCAATACTGGCCCGTGCCATACTGGTGTCATACTGCAGCCAGTGCCCGCTCCCCCCCCCCCCCCCACACACACTTCACTGGCCGCGGAGCAGCGTTTTGGGAGCTGACAGGAAAGAGAGGTGTCAGGGCGGGGGACATTTTTAACGTTTACTTCTCATTATCGGAGAACGATTTCTCTACGCTGCATATTTGTTTGCTCATACCAAGTTTGTTCTCAGACTACTACAGTTAAAACTACATATGCTGAGCGTCGCGATAGAGAAGCGTTAAATGCGTGCTCTCGTGCTCAGCAGTGTTCAGAAGACCGTGTGCTGTGCGTGGTGTCCAATGCCGAAAAAGTGTGGGCCTCCATCGCAAAGGAGACCTTACCAGATTAAGCAGGCCTACAATGCATCGGGTCAGTTAGTGTTTCGTTATCTAGCACCTCACTATACATATATACATTTCCTAGGAACATCGCCGATGGCGTCCTTACGTTGGATTGCGACGAATCAGTGATTTCTTTTTTCAAAGCACAGGTGAACAAGATCTTTTGAAAATGCATTGCAAATGTTTCAGTTTCTCTCTTCAATGAACCTTGATGCAACACCTGACATGTGACTGATTCTTGGGCTTCAATACAGTAACAGCTCTGGCAGGGTTCCATGACATCATCCCACGCCTCAGCGTCCCCGATCTCGCTGTTACTAGAACACCCCCCCCCCCCGTGTGAAGGGACCCTCTTCCAGTCGCGATGGGGACCTGCTCTCAGTCATAACAGTGCCCTGCTGTTCGAGGATGACTCCTTGCCTCATTGTGCCATGACCATACTCATCAGAACGAGGGCCTCCTGTCATACTGCGGAGCTTAACCAAGCGAAAACGTTCATCGCAATGGGCATCATTTGTATTCTCAGCTCTCTCCCGTCCCGACCGGGGACTCCTACGCTGTCCTGGCCGTCCATCATCATTGCTGCTGAACATGAACACTAGACCTGTCATGGCTTTTGACGGGCCCCATTTTTAATACTTCACATGGATTTAGTGGTAGTAAAAACACATGCTCGCCTCCCCCTCCCCTCTGACACTAGAGCGGACTGACCGGCCTCTCTTCCCCACAAACTGGTGACATCCCACACCCTGGGTTATGTTTACCTTCCCATACAAAGGTGTGTACTAATTACTCAAGATAAATGCTAGCACATTATACCCATATGCAAAAGTGGACTGGACTCTGCATCAAGTCACAGTTATTTCAAGCATCTGACAGGTGTCTATAAAACTGGACTAGGCATGTGGAATGTGGCTGTTCAGCTGCATGAAATGGTTCTTTGTACTTTGGCTTGATAGTGCTATCCAAGCCACATTTACCTGGAGCATGTCAACTTGGCCTTTAGATTAATTTGGATCTAAATGTCACGACCATTGCCTCCACTGAGATGTTCAAAGCCATTTCCACTGATTGCATATAACACATGGTGCACATCCTGCTGCACATGTTGGTCAATCTACACACCTGCATGTGCGGCAGGCCACACAATGTGATGCCATCCTCATTTTCTTGCGAATGACTTTAGGTCACTAACTCAGAGCACCTTAAGAATTGGAGATCACTGCTGCAGTGTCAAATGAAGGAAAAGTGACAGCTGTTGGAATCAGTGTACCTATTCAGATGGTTCATTTTTGTTCATTGCTTAGCCTCTTGGCATCTTTTTTGAACTCATTGCATCTTAATGAAGTCTTAGCATGCATGCACATGCTCGGCACTGGCATCTGCACCACTGGAGTCAAATCCTGTACAACAAAACAGCAAGAAACATGGCTTCAATTTCCCTGCTATGAGGCTACAGGCCATTACTCAATTAGATCCCCATCCCTTCTTATCTGTTGACAACTGAACTAATAAGTCTGGAGTACCACTGAATTTAAGAAATGTGGCTCATCTAGCATTGGTCTCCAGCAACCATCACACTACAGCATAGATGTGATGTTGTGCAGAGCTCGATGACGTGCACAGCCAGGCTAAGGCCGTGCAGCCAGCACAGTCCACCCAGCAGGCTGCAGGCTGCTTGCCAATGATGTAAAATGAGCTGATTGTGCTGCTAAGCTCAAAACAGATCAGCAAGGTCATCATTCTTTTTGTTAAGACAGTGAGGGATGCACTAACAAATACCTTTCACTGGCATTTTCCAAGTCATGTGGTAAACAGCCGACCCACGCAATGAAACATTTCAAGGAACAAGAATGATCTTGAGGTATCCTCTCCCATCACATGTTTTGGCATAATCCTGGCTCTAATTTAATGATACAAATGTGTATGATAAAATGTGGTCCCATTTGAATGTTAAAATGAGCATTATCAAAATTTTTGGCAGGCTCCTTCCAACATTACACACACTTCCTTCAGGGTTAATCAGATATAACAATCATTGTGACTGCATGGATGACTGCAAAAAAGGTAAACAGCCTATCAGAATGACCAAATTTCTATTTGCTGTAAATTATCCTAGGATGAAGAGGTGTATGCACCACATGGAAGTTTAGAGTAACTGAAATGACTTGACATGATATTCTAAGTCATTTGTCTGCCTAAATGCTCCTGATAATACATAACCATATACAGCTTGCTGAATGCAACAAATATAAAGAACAATGACAGCCTGACTTTGGCCTCATCCAAAGAAAGAATGACAGCCCTGTGACACATATTCACTGCTCCACAATTGTCTGTGTGGGCTTTTCCTTTGGATGGTTTCAGTTCTTTTTGCACTAAAATGTCTCCAGTTGGGAAAAAAACATTTCCTTCTTGTGTTTAAAGTACTAGTAGCATTCTGAAGGGTGTAACATAAACTTTGAAACACTCAAGGAATTTTACAACCAGCACACAAAAATGTACCCAGAAATGTCTGGAGTCCAGCACCATGGAACATGGTAAACACAGTAGCATGTGTTATACAAAGTTTCTGTTAATTGATTATCATTTAATTCCAATATACAGGCTACAAACATTGCATATCATGCAAAACACATCACACAGATTCTTGATCTGACTAAAACTTGATGATCTTTGATTCTTGAACTCATGGTGATAAAACATTTTCATTGCACATTTAGTTGTCAGCTGATGACCAATGACACTTATCTAGACAGCATAAATCTTGCTATCTAGAACATGATAGGGTGGGGTATAAATAATTTTAACCAAAGGGAAAGCATAATCTCAGCCTATGTCTTATGCAATACCCTGGTGCCTGTATTACTAGTTCTGTTCTTCTATAGTGTAGTCCCCATCACTAGCACCATCACCTAATGCCACTGCAGTCCCTCCCTCCCTGCCCAACCACATGTGGAATTAGTTTCCTTTGTTTAAAACATCTTCTATTTTGATGTAGAAATGTTGTGCCCAAAACTCTTCCTGTCTGCTTTTCTGTTAAAGCTTTGATCATCATAATACATCCCAGGCACATGTCAGACAAAGGTATGTTAACTGCTACCAGCAACAATGACAGATGCCAGCATCATGTCATGACACAAAGTATTATATCTGAGTAAAAAATGAATACTGAAACACCTAAGTAACCTTACACATGCTCCCTGGAATGGAATTAGACTGTCATTCCTAGGGCAAATAAAAACTGCCTCAAATAATCAATCTCTGACCAGGATTTCATACTGGGCATAATGTGACATTCCTGAGAATGTTGAAAGAAGGATGTGCCTAATTATCCATGATAAAACTACGATTCTGAACATCCAATTCAAGACTTTTCATCACTTAAACATGCAGAAGCTTTCATTTGCAGTTAGATATTCTGTTTGTGCCATTAATAATGGCCCAAAGTATTTAACTAAAGGGGACAATGGTGCTGAAGCACTCCAGGCTGCTGCATGGGTAGGTCAGAAATCAGAGGTCCTAGCTGACACCTGCCTCGCAGCTTTTCCAACCAATGACTAACAGCACAGGGAAAAACACCATCTCAGTGGTGATAATAAGCTCCTTTGGGATCTGCCATCTGGTTGTAGAACTCTAAGTGGTTTTGTCATGCCAAAAAGTTACAAAATTGTGGCAGCTTGCTCTGCACAAAGATTGATTTCGACAATGTCTAAGCTCCCTCCGGCTGAGTCATAAAACCGGATGAACAGACCCATCACGGGACGTTAAAGGACACGGGATACCGATAGCTTGTTTACGGGTGCAAAAAGGGAGTGCATGCTTACTTTAAGTATGAGATGACCACCCGAGGCAGCAGGAGGCAGCACGAAGCATCAGCATGTCCAACAACACCCCGTCGACATTGCCACAGGTCCAATGAGGCACGTTGCTAGTCCCACCGACACAAACGCAGTGAAAGGAATGCCATGCGTCTTCGGATATTTCCACAGAAGTTATTCGCAAAATACTTCCACTCTCCACCAACGCACCCCGACACCTTCCCACTCGTCGTGCGCAATGCGCCACGAGAAGTGCGCGAAGCGCGGAGCACAATGTATATAACAGCATCCACCAAGAACGGGGCCTTTCGATATAAATGTGTAGCGACCCTAGTGAGCAGATTATTTTTTGTATTTTAAGAAGAGTCTATAGGAATAATTACAATTGACGTAAGTTAAATATTTTATCATATTTAAAGTTGTTCCTGCATTGGAAAATTTATCGTATGTTATGCATAAAGTCGCAATTCATTTTTGACTGATACACATAATCAAGGACCAGGATTTACATTGTCTAACTTACAGCTATGCACCTATAGGCTTGTTCAGGATTTAACCAACGGTGATAAGTCCCTTATAGATGTACAAAGTCTGTCAAGAGTATATCTTCCTAGTTATTTTGGGGGTCTAGCTCCAATGTTTACCCATAAACACCATCAATTCTAACAAATTTCCGAAGTTGTGTGGTTGCTTATTTGCTGTCTTCCCCTGCCCGCGGTCCCATATAACAAGGCTCCCGAACAGTCTCTGGGCGATTGAACATCTTTGTACGTGTCTGTTCCCTTTAGGCTGCCTCAAGGTCCACGGTCTTTTCGAAACCAAGTGAACGTCGAGGACTTCTTGCATTGTGAAGGGATTTGAGCATCTTGGATCTTATGGAACTCGTGTCTTCCTAAAAGCCTTGACTGGCATCTGTCGGCCATCAGTTCATTTGGCAGTGTTGTGGTGAAACGCAGCACTACAATAGAAGCCGCAGTGCGACTAGGTCTATGCAGCTCGGCCTTGAGGTGGCAATGCCAGTTTGGCATTTTTCTGATCAGCTGCTTAGTCAATAAATGTGCCGAAATAATCCCTCTCCGTACTCTTTATTCGTCTTTACTATGAAGTGCTATCGTACTTGTGGCCCTTTTTCAAGCACATTACACGCATATATTCTGTATGGAATATTCACTATGCTACCTTGGGCTTAATTTTCAGCGCTTGCATGCTCGCTTATTTCCTAGTTCTGATCTGAAGTGAACGACTCGCCGTTTATGTGGCGCATCATTATTGCTGGAGATAGCGCAGCGGAAAATGCATTGATACTACAGCCAAACGCCAAACGTGGTAGTATTTGATTGAGATGCGCCTGCGTTTGCCGGTCCTTGGTTATGACGCGCTCTGACAAGCGCCAGGGATAAGCTTCCCCCGTTATTGCGATGTGGAGGAAGTGCCGAATGGTCATAGCTACCCCTAGCCCGGAGGTGCCCACCTGTGTGTTCACAGTTTAAGAAGAGCGTTTGGCTTTTGTGTACCGTTTAAACCATTCCGGATTTTTCTGATTTTGAACGGACTCTCCTGCCATGGCAGCTGCTTCAATTCTCCGTGACCCATGCGCTTTTGTCTCTCCTGGCAGATCTCTGCTCCTTCAAGGAGAGAAAAAAAACATTTGAAGACATTGAAACAAGCATCAGATATAGTGAAACAACTTCACTTAGAACTATTGGTGTACTTTTGAAGTGGAAAAGACTACTCTATACAGCACAATTCTTTGTTTAGTGAATATGCTCCTCAATGCATCATGGTTTGATTATGTCATCGTACCTTGCGAAACATTGATTAAGAGCCAGTTAACAGCCGTCGTATCTGGAAATCATGCTCACGAGCACCAGATATGAACGCCTCGGCGATGTTATCTTTATTGGCCTTGATTGTCAAATGGCTATAGAATGGCATAGTTTGAGTGACGCCATTATGACGTCATGAATGCCAAAGTGACCTTAAAGTACTCCCCATGATGTACTTTTTCCCATTTTGGCGGGCGTGTGGTTCAGAAACTAGAGGGGCTTGGGTCTTAAGAAGGGCTGGATTGCGGACATCACGAAAGGTCTTGAAGATGGCTATGTCGGGATATATATATATATATATATATATATATATATATATATATATATATATATATATGTGTGTGTGTGTGTGTGTGTGTGTGTGTGTGTGTGTGTGTGTGTGTGTGTGTGTGTGTGTGTGTGTGTGTGTGTGTGTGCGTGCGCGCGTACGTGCGTGCGTTCGTGCGTATGGAAGATTCCCTTTAACATGCGCTCGGGTGGGGGGGTCAAATTGACCCCCCTAAGGTTTTTCCAGAATGGTTTTCGAACGGCACGGCGCAGCCGAGGCAAATTTTGCATAGCTGTATACAATTGAATAGCGGATTGTTTGGCACCAAACACTTAGATGTACCTTGTAAGGTCGCTGACTTCTGGCAGGTCAAAGTCAGGCTATGGTTTCAGCGAAAGCAATTTCTAGGGAATCCCTCAATCTTATCTAACAATGGAGTGTTAGACGAAGCCGTGCATCTCTGAGATGATTTCTTAGGCAACACAACAATTGAATGAACATATTAAATTGACCTAAGGTCAGGTATGAAGGTCACACGAATGTCAAAACCAATCTGTTTTGTTACTCTAGGGCTTGCTGTATGGGATAGTTTCTGGTGCTCATTTCGAATTTGATAGCAGAAACCGCATTATACCTCATCCATGGACTTTTTAGAGGTCCGAATAGGTCATTGACCTAAAATGACCCGGGTCGACATTTTGTTTTAGGGAACACACTGCCTGGCGTAATTTTTGTCGCTTAGTCAAATGCAAAATTCAAAGCAATCTTGTATTATTTTGGTCGCCTTGACCTTTAAAATGTCAAACAAGGTCACTGACCTTAAATGAACATGTGGACTTTTTACTTAGAAACGGTTATCTAGGTTCTGGGGGCACTTTAGAGACCAACCTGAAACTTGACCTTGTTTGACCCTTTTGACCCGAAGGTCATGACCTAGGAACCTGAAACTTCGACCTAAGTGAGTCCACATACAGGGCAATCTACCCTGTAATTTTGGTGTCTCTAGCTTTCTTAGTTCCCAAGGTCTCAGGGAGGGGGGTCAAGCTGACCCCCCCACCCACCCGAGCGAAGGGTATCTAGCCGGCCACCCGGGCGCGTGTTAAGCTTTGCTTGGGATGCTTCGACCACTTGGACCCGTCTAACTGGTTCCGAAGCGAGTCTCTCAGAACAAGACCCTGGGCTTCTTGAGCCTCTTGAACAATCTATGTGTCCCTTGACCGCACCAAATCTCCTTGCCCTTCTAGATCCTTCGGTGATCTAGGGGTTCATAGTCAGTTTCATAGAACCCATTGCCCGTCTCCTGGTCCCTGACTGCCTCATGGAGTCAAACTTCTGTCGGTGCACCGGACTACACACGAACAATCTTACAGAGCGCACTGTCCACCGAGCTTGGGCAAAGAACGTGGCATGCCATGAGGGGATTTCAACATTTTGTCAGGAACGCATTCTGGTTACGACAAACCTACCACACCATTTTCTCTTCGTATTGCCGACTTGTGTCTTTATTACGTTCCATCCACTATAAACACTGAGAAGACTTTGATTGTCGAGGAATTGTTGACTTTTCGAGGTTCTTAAACGCCTAGGGTTTTCTTGCACCTTGTAGGACAGTTTAAAAAAATTGTTCCGAACGGTTTGCACGGGTGACTTCGGGTTCAGAGTATCTACTAAGCAAAGCTTTTTGCGTGCACCCCGAACCCACCACCCAAGCGTGCCGTCCAATTCAACGGATAATTTTGCCTCCTCTCTTTTGCCAGAGAGGAATGCGGATGTTTTTACGTGCCGCACGACGCTGCGGCACGGCCGCCCGGGCCTTGGTTGACCGTCGTTGGCCAGTTTCCAGCTGGTCTTTCCATTTCGGACAGGTCAAACAATGCACCCACTCTGGGACTCGTACCCAGCACCGGTGGATTATGAGTTCAGAATCCTTCCCCTAGACCACGAAGACAGCTAAATATTTATGATCTGCTTAGTGGCTTCGGGCGACTTCAGCATCTTGGAGCATGATGAATGAGTCGTGGCGCCACGCCGCAGGCTCACATCAAGTCCGTTGTTTCATATTTCTCCGTCTCTAGAGGCCACCTGACGACTGCCTCCGGTCTGACCGGCTCATATTCCCTGATGATCTTCTGATCTGATCTGATCCTTGCTGGCATCGTTGTCCATGAGTCGCCTGCCACCAGAGCGGCCGTGGGTGAAGTTGGCGATGGCAAGTGTGGGCCAGATTCACCATTCTAGTCCGCTTCACCCACCACTGATCTACGCTTGTCTTGATAGCAACGAACAAATGTAGCACCGAACGTAAGTCCAGGCTATGCGGGAGGAACAGGCTCAAGGTGTTAATGTGAAAGAAATTGCATGGGCTAAATATTGTTTGACAAAAAATTACACTTCAGTTAGGTCGCGAGGAAGAAAACGCGTACAGGGCGTTGACTGCGGGGATAAAGGTCGCATGGGTGACATCCTATACGGGAGGTATTACTGACTTCACGAGGGAACACAACTTGTACTTAGCTCCAGACCGGCAAATAACATCGCCTCCAAAACCATCAATAGTAGGACGGAACCGAACAAGCATCTGACCTGAGCTCGGCGCCGGCAGAAGTGCGGCTGGAATCCAAATATTTGACTTGATGCTTGACACTTGAACTTGAGCGACATTTCCTCAATGACAATTTTCCAGCGGCTGCACCGGTTTTTCAGAAGGCCCTACCGGCTGAACGCCGTTTTTTGCCGGATAATGTCTACATATCTGATCCAATAGAGATCCATACCCCAAGTTCAAACACATCAAGTGCAGTTTCGCGATGTTAGTGACAAGTAAATACAAAGTCAAACGAGGGAAGGACACGCAATTGGCACATATGCAACAGCACCCGTGTTCGCGCTCTCGAACAAGGCTTGTAGCCTATCATCAGCGTTTTATCATCATGTCATCGTTGCCAACAACAACGTTGCTATCATTGCCATCATCCTCATTGCCGTCGGTCGCCGTCGCCACAACCGTCGTCGTCGTCGTTATTTTCGTCATCGTCGTTATCATCGTTCACGGCCTGAGCTGTGTGTACGATTATGAACATTGATATGCTGAATAGCCCGTGCATGGTACTGTCTGGCGCACTAGATGTTGTCTTCAGCGG